TAGGCAAGTGCAGGAACCAGGGTTTGATCCCTGGCACCACACGTCATGCTGGCCCTGCTCCCGGGGCTCACTGTCAGGGCATGGTGGCATACACCTATAATCCCAGCACTGGGGAGGCTGAAAACAGGAGGATTACTGAGTCTGACCTGTGTAGTGAGTCCTTGTACCACATACATTTAAAAAAAAGAAAGAAAATGCAGGCAAGAAAGCCTTTTTTTGTGGAACTGGGGGTTGAACTCAGGCCCTGGCGCTTGCCAGGGAAGCGTTTATTCCACTGAGCCATCTCTCTGGCCCCTTGAAAATCTTAAGAAAAAGACACAGGTGTAACCAAGGAATATGACATGGGTCTGACTGGGCTGAGGTGAGGCCCTGTTAGGTGGGGCACAATAAGGAGGCTGGGTCATGCAGGAGATGCGGATCCTTATAAGTTGGCCTGAAGGGTAGGGGGCCAACAGAAATCCACAGGGGTGACTGATCTGTTCAAACATTTAAAGTTTCCCTGTTCTTTTGCTTAGCAAAAAGTCAGAAGGGGACCGAGAGTAGAAGCAGGAAGACCAGCTGGAAGGCAGTTTCAGAAAGCCACACCAAACCCAGTAGTATCTTTGGACCAACGTGTTCAGAGAAGAGTGATAAAGAACAGGACAAGCAAGTTTCAGATGTATTTTAGAAATGGAAACAAAGTAGATTGTTTATAATTTGGGCATGACATGTGATGGAAAAAATAAACAGTACCTAGGAGGTATTTAGCTTGCATTTGTGCTAAGTAGGGGCACTATTTATGTATATACAAAAGACAGATATAAAAAGGTTGGGAGAGGGGCCAGGGAGATATCTCAGTGGCATAAGTGCCTGCCTGGCAAGTGCAGGGTCCTGAGTTCGATCCCAAGTACAAAAAAAAAAAAGAAAGAAAGAAGAAAGAAAGAAAGAAAGAAAGAAAGAAAGAAAGAAAGAAAGAAAGAAAGAAAGAAAAAGAAAAAAACTTGGGAGAGGTGATGGATAGAGAGACAGTTATGTAATGAAATATTGAAGCCTATGAACACATAAGAGTCATCAGTAATGAGTCAGATTTAGTCAAGAGAATGAATGAGATCATCTAGAGAACCAACAACAACAGAGCGGGTCCAGCACTGACCCTGAACAATGGACCACTTACAGCCTGTGATAGAAGAGTGAGAGAAATACACAAATAAAGCAAAAATGGTTGCAGGCATCCCCTGGTATGCATGGGGACTGGTTCCCAGATCCCCACGCATACCAAAGTCTGAAGACGCTCTAGCTCTTTATATGAAACATTACAGTATTTCTGTGTAACCTTCCCATGCCCATCCATACACTCTAAATTGTCCTCTGCCCTAAATACCAAATGCATTGTAATTTTATGTGAATAGCTGTGATACTTTATCATTTGGGCAATAAGGACCAAGAGAGGAAGCCTCTACTTTCCCAGATTCAACTGTTTTCCTGCATATTTTCAGTCCATAGTTTTAGTCCACAGATGTGGAACCCATCAGAAGAGAAAGAAAGTGTAAAGCCAGCTATGGGTCATCTTTGCTTGACATCTTGGCACCAAAACCAAGCAAGAAAAGAATTCTAGAAAGGAGGGAATGGTCAACTATGCTGAATGCTGCTAAGAGTAAGACAGAGGGAGACAGTGCAGGTGAAGGACAGAGGTGGTAGGCTTTAAAATGGTCAGTGTAAAAGGCATCCGCTAAGTAATACAGGAAAAAATAAACTTTTCAATTTCCTCAAAAGGCTATCATGGAAAACTGCTCCTCTTCCAGGTCCTCAGGCCTTGGCAGCAAAACTCTTCTGTTTCAGCTCCTACTTCCAAACCACCATCAAATCCTATGAGCACTAACTTCAAACCATGTCCATAATCTAACCGTCTCATCTCACCTATAGCCACAGAACTAGTACAGCTCTGCCTGAAATCATTACATTAGCCTCCTAGCCAATGTCCCTAATTCTTCTCCTCTCCTTTCATCAGCATATTCTCAACACAGCACTGAGTAATTCTTCTTTTTAAATTTTTTTTAAAAACTATTTATTTATTTAATACAGGGTCTTACTACACAGTTCAGACTTGTGATCCTCCTGTCTCAGCCTCTCCAGGGCTAGAATTACAGGTGTGCGCCACCACAAGTTCTGGGGCCTGCACGGCATATCAGGAATTGAACCCAGGTCCTTGTGCTTGCCGGGCAGGTGCTTAGACCATGGTGCTTTCTTCCCAGCCCCAGAGTAACTCTTCTTAAGGGTATCTGGCCAGAACACTTTGGCCAAAGCCAGTGACAGCTTCAGATCCATGCTCACAGATAAAGACAAAGTCCTAGCAGGCTTTATGCAGCCCATCCCCACACACCCAACCTCCCACTTTTTCCCTGGCTTTCTGTGTTGTGGCTTACAAGCCAAGAGCACTTTGAGGAGCATCACTGACTCACAGTCAGCAAGAAAAGAGACCTCAGCCCTATACAATGGAGGGAAATGAATTCTTCTAACTACCTTAAAAGTTTAACAGAAGACCCCCAAGCTCCAGCTGAGATGGTCTCTGACCCACACTTGATTTCCAGAAGGTGGAAATTATGAGATAATAAATGGATATTGTATTAAGCTGCTAGATGTGTGGCAATTAGTTATCAGTAGCAGAGAACTGAAACTCAAGTCCATATTCGCCCCTCAGGCAGACAGGATCGGGAAGCTTTAAGTTTATTGTGACAGCATATCACTGTCAGGTGAGGAAAGAGCCATGGAAAGAGCTTTCAATTCTAGATTGTCGCAATCCATGCTGTCTCATACTCTCATGTCCCTGCAGTGCAGTTCCTCGAGGACTTCCTCTATACACATCAAACCCAAACCAAATGTTGCTCTTCTAGGGAAGCACTTCCTCAGGCACCCCATCCTTGCCTGAGCTGTGGTCCTGCTTCCACAGCAGTGATGTGTACAGACACAAAGCATTTGCTGGGGAGCACGCAGTAACTTGTTGTATGTCTGTCCCCTACCACATCCAGACTGTGTATATTCTAGGGCAGGTGGTCTCAGTCTCCTGCAGTGTGTGAGCCAAATAGGGGGCAACTGAGTGAAAACAAAAGGAAACCTGGAGAAAACAGGCCTCTGGTGCCCAGGGAGGGCCTCTTTCATCTCCTGCACTGCTGACCAAGGCTCAGTATTAACCGCAACTCAGAGAACCTGCTCCATGACGACATCAGGTGACTCACCACACGCTTCCTGCAGTGAAAGGGCAGATGTTTACTCTCTCAGAGAAACTGACCTGAAATTAATGAGTGTGTTTACAGTGACAGGTGGCAGAAGCTGAGAAGAGTCTGGATTCTCCCCAAAAAGAATGGCGGGAGTCCTGTTTGATTCGTTCTGAATCAGGCCTTACACAAGATGTACATACTTACTAATTTAAATAATTAGTGTTAATCCACCCCCCAAATCAAATGTCAACCTAAGACACAATAATCTCACAGAATTAGTTTTTCACAGTGACTTGCAACCGAGTAACAACAGAAAGGAGTCACGTAACAACAACAGCCATGGCGCTCCCAGAACTCAAGAGTACACAGCGCTTTCGGGAAGTACACACTCAGGGAAAATTATGCCTCGTCAGTTCGCAGGGAATAGTATTTTCTGTGTCTTGAGAAAACTCAAAATTTACATTTTTCTTTAGAACATACTCCAATGGGTAAGATTCTTTTATGTTTTTATCATTGAATAACAAACAAATGAAGTGTAGTTTTCTCATCAAAGTTTTATAATCACATTGCCAGACACTTAGGACTATACAAATTCAGAAGGGAAATTAGTTTGCTATTTTTAAAGCTGTAATTATTTCCAATTTTTTATTCAACAAATTTTTTTTAAATCTTTCTTTGGTACAGGGTCTTGCTATATAGCTCAGACTCATAGTGATCCTACCGTCTCCACCTTCTCAGTGCTGGGATTATAGACATGTACCACGCCAGGTTTCAGTGGCTGACTTGGTGCGGGGCCAGCATGGCACACAGTACCAGGGATTGAACCCAGGTCCTTGAGCTTGCCAGGAAGGTACTTAGACCACCGTGCTATCTCCCCGGCCCTATTAAAAATGTATTTTTAACTGGTGTAGTGGCACATGCCCGTAATCCCAGCACCTGGGAAGCTGAGGCAGGAGGACTGCTGGAAGTTCAAGGCCAGCCTAGGCTCTACAGTGAGTTCAAGGCTCATCCTGGAGTCATCCTAGGAATCAACTCAAATTCTATAGGTATCAGTTTGAGGACATTTTGTACATATTGGCTGGCATTAGCTCAGAGAGGCAGGTATGTTGGGACAAAGATTTTCTAGTCAGCAGTAGAGGTAAATATGAAGTTGGCGTCTAACCTTTCTTTAGGGTAACACTAAGATGCTTCTTCACTCACTCGATCTGTATCTTAGTACTTTCCCATCATGTGATTCATGTGATGTATCCACAGGACACATGACATGTCACCTACAATGCAAAGAACAAAAGGTTTATTTTCACTCATGTCTTTAGTCCACAGTTGGCTGGTTCCAAGGCAGGATGGTAGAAGGAAGCAGGGGATGAAAGGCTGCTCACATCTTAGCAGCCTGGAACCAGGAAAGGGACCAGCCTGGGAAGAAAATTTGTCTTATCAGGTCATGATCCCCCAGTGACGAGCCTCTTTTGCCTAGCTGCTAACATGGCATCTAGCTATGTGTCCCATGATTCAGTCATCTTCCAAAAGGCTCACCAATGAGCATGTAAAGTCCCTGGGGAAACCTAGACAGAACCCATAACAGCCGCTATGTAACAGACTGCACACTGGAGCTAAAGCCACGGCTGAAAATGAGGTGTAGAAGGCCACCGCTCACACAGCACTTACGCTCTCACATGGGTGGATGATGAGTGCTCGTGCGCACTGTGTACAATTAAAAAAAAGGGGGGGGAGAGAAAGGCTCGAGTACTAATCATAAGTATTTAAAATGCAAATAGAAACTTCATGCTGTCAGAACACAGTAAATACCTTCAATACTCTGTGGGCCCACAAGATTCATGGCCTGGTGAGCTGGATATTCTACCCGGGGCCTGGCGATGCCCAACTGCTCCATAACACCATGGAGCAGCCTCTGGATATCTGCTTCAGAGACACGGTCAGGAGTCCGTGAGTTATAAGCCAAAGTTGGAGTCCATCCAAATGCCAGGAAAAGTAGTAGGCCAGACAGCATGGTAGAGACCATTCTGGAGACCAGTTTTAACCTAGCAAGAAAGACCAAATTTATATCTATACACAACTGTGATGATGCAACCATGTAACCACCCTAGGCTGTTGTTCAAGGGCCACCCAGCAGGCACAGCAATGCAAAATCCCTGTAGGTTTGCTTTTGTCTCAAGTGTCTATGAAGGCAGGACCTCACTGTGGGAAGGCACAATAAGAAACAAATGGTCTGAGATGAGATTCTTTCTATACCCAACCTCTTGAGAAATCTGGGATCCTGAAATGGCAGTTCTCCTCATAGCCTTTATTTTCTGCCTCTAACTTCACCACTCTCTCCATTACTTACCAAAACAAAAGCTTCCTCCAATTTTGAGAGAGGGCCAAATTTGGAGTTTGCTCAGTCTCAGGCAAGAAAAAACTAATGAGAAGTGGTTAGGAAGACACAAATACTAAAGAAGCACAGAAAGTTTAGGTGCACATGGTGGCTTAGAATGTTCCAATTTCACAGCCAACACCACTGAAATCCTGAGGGGAATGAAAAGCCACACAGCTCAGGCCCTGTCCTTCCATCTGACAGGAACAGGCGAGCACCTCAGCTGTCTCTCTGGCAAAAAGTGGGTAATATAAACATCTGGCTCACAGGGTTGTTGTGAGGGTAAGTGCAAACAGTCCTAAAAAAGCTTAGGAGTTTGCCAGCACAGTGAGGCCCCCGGATAGCTAGTATGGTGCTGGTGACATTGTCTTGCAGTTCTGGTGAGCAGGGTTTGGGGAGACCATAGAGGTCAGAGAGCAGACACAGAGAAGGGAACAAACAACTGGGGTTCAATGTACATGGCTATGCCTGCAGAACAAGGAGATCACGTGGCTGCAGCTACCCTTGCCGCTGTTCACCTGCTCAGGACACCGGAGATGCTTCAGGCAGCAGCCAAGCAAAGCCTCTTTTCAAAATTCTACTCAGGGCTGGAGATCAGAGCGGAATGAGGCAAAACCATAGATTCTTTCCTGAGACTAAAATATTCACACCACTCCATCTCTTCTGCAAAGAAAAGCCTTTTCTTAGCTTTCCTCAGAAATAAAACCTTGCTCCCCAAAGAACTGGCAACAGCTCTTTGTTGCAACAGTAAAACCCTCAATTGTGATGAAAAGGCCAGAGGCAGACAGAGCCCGTCCTTCCCACCTCCTCTCTCCCTTACAGCCCGGAAAGTAGGAACGTTTCCTTTTCTTCTAGCTGACGCCGATCGGATTTGGCCAACTAACCAGTCTTCTCCAAGATTCCTTTGCTCCCTTTTACAGCCAGGCCCCTAAATCCCCCACGCTCCTTTGTCTGACCTCAGCCCCAACCTTAAGGGCTTCAGCAGGGCACCTCCCCCACTCCCGAAGGCCTGGCTTCCTTCAGGGGGCGCCGAGGGCCAACCCTTACGTGCAGGGTACTCACCGCGACTGCAGGAGCCTACTGTGGTCTGGGCCTGCCCGGTGCTCTGGGAGCTGGACAGCTCCCGAGTCTCCGCCCTCGCAGGGCCCCGCCCCACCCCGCCCCCAGCAGGTGGAAGGGGCCTCCTCCTCCTCCGCAGCGCTGCGCGCAGCCTCCCAGATGCTCCTGCGTTTTCTGGACGCAAGTCCCCGGACATTCAAACCACGCAGTGTGTAAACCTCTTCTTGCCTGTGAAACCTGGATACGCTCACTCTTCCATCAACCCGTGAAACCGTCCATTTCCTTTCTGTCTCAAGCAATTCTCTAAACAATATGTCCAACCGCCTTTAATGTCACTTCCCAGAACAGAACAGGTTGGCTTTTGCGTTTAAATCTTTTAGCTTGAAAGGGGAAGACATAAACGATGAAGTCCTACGGATTTTTAGCGGTGGCAGAACTATACATACTGCTTCGAGGAGCCCTTTTGCTGAGGTTCCTAACACAAGATCCAGACTTTTGTTCAAGCGACAATTTTTTTTTTCTTTTTTGGAAAACTTAGGCCCTTGTGCTTGCCAGGGAAGCGCTTATTCCACTGAGCCATCTCCCCGGCCCCATTAAGTGACAATCTGTAAACCTCGAAGACTATTAGCCCTGAGTGTCAACTTCTTGTTAGTTTTATTAAAGCAACAAAAAAGTGCCCTGCCCATAAAGCTGTACGTTGTTGTAGGTAACACTATTGACCTTTGTGTCTCCTGTTACAGACTATCAGAAACACAGATTCTGTTTTCTTAACTGGACAGGCCTGCTCTGGGGTCCAACTCTGGGAGTTCGCTGATTTTAAAGTGAACATCCTACACAAAGCTGCAGACCATGGAATGGGTTCTTAAAAGCCAGGGCCTGCTTGTGGGCGAGATGCATGAACACAACTGCTGAAATTCACAGCTTTCTCTCCATTCTGAGGACAGAAAAGGCTAGTCTGGGCCTCGTTAAGCCCACAGCAGTAACCCTGGAAACAGTGTTGGGAGGCAGCGTGAGAGCTGGGCTGAGGAGCAGGCAGAATTTTGTGGGAAGAGGTGGGAGTATGTGGCACTCAGCAAAGAAATCCGGGAGAGGGAGAGGGAACTGGCCTGGGGAGTGGAACGTGGGAGCAGACACAGGCTGAGGTGCAGGGGATCCAGGCTGCCCAGTGCTCTAGCTTTTATCTCAGGGACATTCTTAGGGAAATTTGCAGCTCCTGAGAAACCCTCATCGATGTCACTGAGGAACAGAAGAAAATTAATTTCTTGTGGTCAAGTTTTTCATTTTTTCCATCCTTGAACAGCAGCACATCTACAGACAAGTGTGGATTGTACTGAGGCAGCTCAAATGCTGAGCGCCTCAGAGAATACACACTAGCGAAGGTTTGGCTTTTAATGTCAGGCCCACATGAACACCATGTGGTCCTGCAGAAGCAGGCGTCCACCCCCTCAGCTCAGGGGAAACTGCCAAGTCCCCCTGCCAGCCATCATTCCAAGGAAAGCAGGAGATGGTTCCCTAAGACCAGGAGAACCTGGGGACTAAGCACTTGCCCTCTCCTCTGAGTCCTTCCTAAACACCCCCACTTACTATCCTACTATCAAGGAAGGTTCCATTTTGGCCTGAAGAGAACCACACTCCAGGCAGATGTACATTTTTTGACAGTGCTGGGGATATACACAGTCCAAGATCCTGCAATTCTCTAGTACTGAAAGAAATTTATGAGTAGGGATGCTTTAAGTCCTTGGTACAATCTCTAGCACTATTAAACAAACACACAAAAAAAGGATAAAGTACCTGGGGAAACTCTACCATAAACATCTGAAATGTATATCTAGTCTACATAATAAACCTGTCTCGTAAAGAAAATTATAACTGATTCATAAGTCAAATACAGTGGTACCGCAATTCACAACCGCTTGCTTGCAAACAGTGCAGCCAGCGACAAACATGACTGTGGCCATCGTTCCTATACAAACACAAACATGGTCTTTTTTTTTTTTTTTTAAAATCATAGAACAAATTAAGTTCATGAGCCAAAGTACCACTGTGCTCAGTTTTGAGGAAGGACTGATGCTCTGGTAATGAATATAGAAAACCCAAAAAGCTTTGAAATAAAATTGACATACTATCAAGAAAAAGCCAGTAAAGAAAACATCTAGTGAATTATAATTGTTTTGCTGTGCATTTTAAGTACATGTATTGCTCCAACATCTAAAATGTGACAACTAATAATTTAAAATATAAATTTAGACAGATTTGCTTCACCATTTGGTTCAAGTTACAAGTGGCATTTTGAATATCTTTTATTTATTTATTTATTTATTTATTTATTTATTTATTTGCAGAACCAGGGATTGAACTCATATCCTTGCGCTTACCAGGGAAGCGCTTATTCCATTGAGCCATCTCCACGGCCCCTTGAATTTCATTAGTCACAGGCAGGTGATTTTCCAGAAAATTATCTTTAATGTCTTCACTAAATAAATAACATTTACACATAAGACCATCATAAGTTTTTATCCAAGTAAAATGTACAGAGGTGCATAATCTATTCAAGTTCTAAAATCAAGCATCTGCGTAGAAAAACAATTACTTTGATTTATTTTTTCAAGTTCAACTAGTCCTCCTTAAATAATTTCATTCTATACCAGACAAAACACAAACACAAGTATTTGTGCAAATTACCTTTAAGAACATAGTATGGCTTAAACATAACCAATTAGGCCTACATCCTAAGGGCACGTTTCCATGATTATTCTGCATTAGCGACTGCTTATTTCAAGTGAACACACTGTACAGGCACAGAGCTACGAACCCAAGCATTCTGCCTCCAACTGGAATAAAGCATTAGACTACTACAGCAATTTAGTTTCTAGGGATTTTGGTAAACACAAGTGGGCATGAACATAATTCAAGGCAAGATCTGCGGGCTTACTCTTCCCCATTACACGCTAGGTTTTACAAGAACTTTACATGACTTGGAGAAAGAACAATAGACAAAACTAGCTTCACTTTTCTTCTCACACATACAAAATAAAAATCATACAGTTCTAAAAAAATTTTACAAATTCAGTCAACGATTTCTGTAACCTTTGCTTTAAGAGATCACAAAAAATTGTTTAAATACTGCCATAATTAAGAAAAGCAAAGTAATGATATATGCAGAGAAATCAAGATGTCTCAGAGGAAACCTGCTGCTTAGTAAATCATCCTCTGCTACCAGCTAACATGTATATTATCCCACAAGTCTTATCACCAATTGCTAATTTATTTACATTCACAACAAGTTTAAACTTTGCCAATTACAAATCTATAGGTTTACTTGTTGGCAGTAGTTGAGCCTTCGCTATAGGATATTTTGGAGAACCCTTGTACCAAGCCCTCTCCCTTTCTGATGGTTTTCTAAGGACCGTGGTTTTCATCCCAGAAGAGAAGCTCGCGTCACTCTTCACAGCAGATGTTAATATATCATGATTGGTCAGGTCCTCCAAGGGACCCTTAACGTGACCATCAGATACCAGCTCCTGCGTACAAACTTTAGCAGGCCCAAGAGAAGCATTCACAGAATCTGGATGCCTCTTCATCTTTAAGGACTTCTGTTCTCTAGGACCTAGTCTGGCACATGAAAGAGAAGACTCTTTCAATGCACTATCCGTACAAGAGGGAAGAGCACTGTCACAGCTCACCGACTTAATCAAAGGAGAAGCAGCATCACCAAGATAGGTCAACTTTTGTCTTACAGGTTGTCTGCTATACTCCAACAAAGAATTAATTCTTCTGACAGACTGGCGGACAGGAGTACGATGAAATTTAAGAGGTGACTTCGCTTTTGCTCTATTTGATTCATTTAATGAGAGCTGATTAAACCACTGTATGTGATCTGAAACCTTCCCATGCTCTGTCACGTGCACACCTTCAGAAACCGTTTTACTGCATGTTTCCACCAACGACTGCTGCTTAGCAATTCTCACAGGCCTAGGTTTTGACAGGTTTGTCGCCTTATACATACTCTGCTGACAGGAAGGGGATTTAGTCTCACCCTCTTCGGGAGCTGTGCATTTCACTAAGTTCTCCTCAAACCTATTCTCATGCTCCTCTGCCTGAGTATTTAGCTTATCTTTTGGGGACTGTTCTTCCCTCGTTTGTTCAGCAATAGGGAGTTCCTGCTGTACTAAACTACCCTTCTGTACATCTGAGTCAGTGTCTTTGTGAAGTTCTACCTTCATCTGAGTTGAGTAACATTTTGTAGTTGACTCTCTACCTAAACTTGGGGTTTGATGTGGTGAGAGGTCTCTTTCTGAAAAACAACATTCATCTTTAATGGAACAGTCTTTGTAATTTTCCTCTGATTCTCTCACAGTCAAATTATTAGTTTCAAATAGCTTTTCTTCTGACTTATACTCTCCATAAGATGATTCATTTATTTCTTCTTTTTCCACATTAATTGCCGGTGACTGCCTGTGACTTATCAGTGCATGAAGATTATTTCCAGACTCTGAAAAAGCTTTTTGGATCTTCACCAAAGTCTGTGAGGTCAAGTTACTTTCATCCCCACTAAGGGAGCTTTCTGCCACCCTGCTTTTAGTTTTGCTGTGTGAGGTGGAAGGGGTGAGTTCACAGGACACGCTAGGTGACTTTTCAACTGTAACTTCAGGCTCCAAAGAAAAGTTCTGCACTTCAAGATTTCCCATTCTTGGAGAAGCTTCACTGGCCTCCATTTCTTGAAAACTTGAATTGCTAAGTCCCGTCCAAGACATCCGGTAGTGTCCATCTACTCGCTCTGGAGTTACTAAGTTTTCCTCAGACTGACTGATCTTTACTGAACCTAAAATGAAGCAGTTCAGTGCTTTTAATCCTTTATATCTGACCTCATTTTTGAAATATAATCCAAACACATGGCAAATAAAGTGATAAATATTTCCAATAATTTAAAGTTAGTGATAAAGTAATCTTACTTATAGAAACAACAAATATTTTTATACTATCATGTACAAGTATCCTCCAACTGACAGAAAAATACATTGCCAATTTAAATATTTCTACTACCACTCAAACATAAACTTTAAATATCTAGAACAGCAAACTGCTTTATACATTTTCTCATTTAAAAACAACTAGAAGTAACTAAAGCATGATTTTTTGGTAAAAAAACAGTATTACATGAATGTACCTTTCTTTGATAATCTTTCATCAATATCTGGGCTAAAAAGCAGACCTGCTTTTACAGATTCAATCCTATTTTTTAAACTTTCTTGATTTGCAAGTCTTCGACCAACACATCTACTGACACCAGGACATCCATTCTGTACAGAAAAGAATTTTAAAAAACTGGTTAAGCAATAAACTTGAGGCCAGGAAGATGGCTCAGTGGAATAAGCACTGGCATAAGCACCTCCCTGGCAAGTGCAAGGGCCTGAGTTCAACCTCTGGTTCCGCCAAAAAAAAAAATAATAATAAAATAAAAAATAAACTTAATTAATTCAAAATGTTAACAGAATAATTTTTTTGTAGGTATCAAAATCTATAGCTGAGTAAAGAAGACATATATAATTGGGAAAAAATTTTGTAACATAAAAATTTTTACCTCCTAATGAGAATTATAAATACTAGCTGATATTTTATGCTATAAAAGTCATCTTACATCTTCACTATTTAAAAAAAATAAAATTTGTGCTATCTCTATAAAGGCCTATTAACACATAATAGGAAAAAAAGATCAAAATCTTATCTTCTTGGAATTTATAGCGTAGAAGTTTTTGATCAAAACAAGAGAAACCTTAAATTACACTGAATAAACACAATATATGCTGAGATATGAAAGAGATAAACAGGGTACAGAAGACACGGAGTGATGAAGGGTGGGAACATAATTTTAATTACAGTGATGAGAAGATGATTTCTGAATTAAAAAAAAAATAGTAAGAGCCATAAAGGTTTAAGGGGAAGAGCACTGCAGAGAGAAGACGCTGCCAAGGTCTCCGAGGCTGGCACAGTCTCACACACTTAGACACCAAGGAGACCAGTGAACAGGGAATGGTGAGCCAGGAAGAGCAGTGCCGGGGGCAGAGCTCGGAGGTGCGGGCTGGCACCCTGCAGGCCAGAGTGTGAACTTTGGTTTCTATTTTGAAAGAAACAAAACATGGGAGGACTCGGAACAGAAGAGTGACAGACCTAACTTAGGGCTGCTTTCGCTGCAGTACTGCACCAGGACTAGAAGCAGGTGGGCCTGTTCCTTGGAGCTTGCTGCAGAATCCAGCGAGGCTGAGCTTAGCAAAAAATGGAAAATGGTCCTGGTGAGAACTGATCAGTAGGGGCTGGGGAGATGGCTAAGTGGAATAAGCGCTTCCCTGGCAAGCGCAAGGGCCTGAGTTCAATCCCAGTTGTGCAAAAAAAAAAAAAAAGAGAAATGATCAGTTTGGAATATATTCCAGTGGGTTAGATGTGGTGCGTGAAAGAAAGCAGCATCAAGATTGTGCTGGATTTTAACCTAAGGCATTGTTAGAATAAGCTAGAGAACTTAACTTTGGATACCTTAAGGAACTATGCTGAGTTTAAAGATAACTATTCCCTTGACTATGTACAAACAGAGAAAGACAAGTCCAAGGACTAAGCCTTGGCCCCTCTGCTGCAAGGGAGTTTGAAAAGTAAGCAGCAAAGAAGCAAAGGAAGAAAGTAACGAGGCAGCAAGCAATCCTCTGCACCAAATGCGCTTACAGGACAAACTGAATGGAGGGTTATTTTTGACTGTTGGTTCAAGCAATGTTGAATTCATTGGTGAGTTTCAGCTTTTGTTGGGACAAATGTCTTGATAAAAAGAATGGCACAGCGGCTGGAGAAGCAGCAGGAAGAAATGGGTCTTTTACTATTAAGTCCACAGCTTCATGCTAATGTAAGCTCATTAATAAAGTGACAAAAGACACTTACTATGTCTTTGTTTTTTCCCAGACTAAATTTCAACCGAAGAGATCTTCGAACCTTTTCTTTACGGCCGATTTTAGGAGAGAAGCAGCCTGCTTTTCCTGATTCCACCCTATAAAGAATAGAATTTAAAAGATGTATTCAAAAGATTTGTAAGAAAATTTACAAAATGGAACTTGAGAAAGTTCTATGCAAATCATATTGCTAATATTCGAACAGAGTAATAACTTTAAAGATAAAGCTTTAAGACACCATATACGAACACACTGCTTGCACAGAAAAATGATTTATCATAAAAGTTCAGTTACTTAAAAATCAGAATCATTACGTTAGACTTTTATCAATAATCTTTTAATTCTTTGGTTTAAGAAGAAAATCTTTTTTTTTTCTTTAATTTATGAAGTTGATACAAGGTCTCACTATGCAGTTGAGACTCAGTGATCCTAAAGAGAAAATATTAAATTAATATTTGTGTCTTTTTAAAAAATTGAAACAGGAAAAAGTAACAATAACAGCAAGACAGGGGGCCGGGGAGATAGCTCAGTAGAATAAGCGCTTCTCTGGCAAACACAAGGGCCTGAGTTCAATCCCCAGTTCTGCCAAAAAAAAAAAAAAACAACAAAAAACACCAAGACAGTTTTAAGATGGGCTAGTAGGAGAGTAATTAATGGGATAGTAGGAGACAGTAGGAGAGTAATTAATATATTGCATACTGTTATATCCATTGTAGTTATTCAGAGCACAAGATATAGGCATGAAATACTGTCCAAGAAAGTATTAGCACAAACTTTCCAAGGAGCTAAGAAAAACTAGCTGCATAACTATCTGTGTGCATGTATATGTATATATTTTGTTTGCTTTTTTTCCCCTTTCTCCCATCAGTTTTTGTTTGAACAGTATCTTTCCTATTCACTGTATCCATTGTACAGTTTGGATCTTTTTACTCTTTCATTTTTTTACACTAAAGAGACAATGTAATGTTTATATATGTGGATATTGTTCTGCTTACTAGTATGGTCTCAGGTTGTATCCATTTACCTAAAACAGTCTCGAGCTCTTCTTTATGGCTGAGATATCCCACATCTTTTTTATCCCTATCTCGATTGATGGGCATTTGGGCAACAAAATGAAAAGACAACCCATTGAATTGGAAAAAATGACAGCCAGTTGTCTTTCAAACAAAAGACTTATAGGGCAAGGCAGATAGCTCAGTGGCATAAGCTCTTGCCTGGCAAGCACAAGGTCCAGAGTTTGATCACTGGTACTAGAGGGGAAAAAAAAAAAAAAAAAATCCAAGAACAGGAATCTGAGATGAATACATAATACTCAGATGAAATACAAACGGTAAAAAAAAATGCTCAGCCGCATTGGTCATTAGAGAGACACAGATTAAAACAACACTGAGCCTCCACCTCACTCCAGAAACAATCTCACTGCAACTAACAACAAACACTGGTGAGGCTGTGGAGAAAAGGAACCCTTCTCCACTGTGGGTGCAAGTGTAGACTGGTGCAACCACTTCAGAGATCAGTCTGGAGAGCCTCAGAAAACTAGGACTACAGGCCCTATCTGAACCAGCTTTTCCCCTTCTGGTTATTTTCCAAAAAAATTAAAAATATCATACCATCATCCATGTATATAGCAGCACAATTTGTAATAGACTAGCTTTTTAAACTATCAGAAAATTGCAAATTACACTCATCAACACAGGATTTTAAGCAGGCAAGGTGGACTCAACTTAGGAATATTTTTTTCTGGTTGTTTTATGAGGGGCATTTGATTAATCAAACATCAAACGAGAAGTTAAAAATTATTAACTTCTCTGTTTCTTGGTAGAATGACAAAATATTTTACCAAGAATCGTATGTGAATCATACAATAACATGTATCTACATGTCAAATACTAATTCAATGACCACAAAATGCTCTGGATAAATTACCTGCAAACTTTTTTGCCCGCAATTCTTTTACTTCGCCTTAGCACACCTGCATTGATCAAATGGTTTCCACTGATGGTGACAGGAGAGAGTGAACTCTGAGATGACCCTTCTGGACTTGTATCACAATGAACTTTAAAAAGCAACAAACAAAGAACATAAAACATATGTATCATACACACCTAATTTTTTTCCAAGTATAAAACAGTAATAACAGCTTTAATTTCCACCCCCAAACAACAACAAAAATCATGTCATTTCTGGCTAGACTCTTTCAATGTCAAAATAGCTGACTCAGATAAGTACTGTGCTTTTTATTTTTCCATTAAAGGTAAAATCAAACAATACTCTCCTACTTTTTCTGCTTTAAACTCTTACTAATAAAAAAGGAATGACCCTGTCATTCAGTGGAGAAAGCTAGAATTGAGGTTGTTCAACTTGCAAAATGGCTTTAGATAATGAACATAATACTGTTATATAATTTCCAATATAATATGTAGTACAGAATATTAATTATACTGTCATAAAAATAAACTTGAGAAACAAGTTGGACCCTGACTACGCAGGATACAGCTGCTTTTCCAATTGCTATCTGCCTGACTCTGACTGCAACTTACGTAAACTTTCTTCTCATAACCAAAACTTGTCATTAACAATGCCTAACTGCATTGGCACTGCCACTTGCCACAAGAAAACTGATTACAACAAAAATTCAATTCAATTAACTTATGTTTGACCCCTACTTTGTATACACCCAACAAAGGGTAACTCTATTATTATCATTGTTACTGATAAAGACTTTACACTCCTAAACAGTTACAATTTTTCTTTTGTTTTTGTCATGGAAGTGGAAAAAGTACAGCCATCACAATGATTTCTGGGTGTACTTGGCTAAAGAAACATCTTAGGCCAACACAGAACACATTCACTACGACACAGGCAGCTTTGTCCCAGGGCTTCCGCCCAGGCACTCTGACAGTGCCCCAGGGGTTACACAGGCAGGCAGAGCGTGCTGCATGGTTATATCTGTCACACATGTAAGAACCATGGGCGATAAATCATGAATCTACAAGACATAAAAATTAACCTAAGAATTATGGATAAAGCTGCTGCCCATATATATGGGATTTGTTATAACCCAAACCTAGAAATCAACTCATTTTCAATCTTACAGATGGAATTCATTAAATTGTAGCTGAGAAAGTACAACACAAGAAAAATAGTGAAGTAAAAATGTGATTACTGAACTTTTTAACTTTTTTTATAAATAAAATGCACTAAGGTTAAAACCACTCCAAAATGTTTAAAATTTGGGGGCAGCTTAGAGAAGGAGCAAATAGACTGGTTTTCTGAGAAAGATGTTCTGAGTGAATAAGTAGAGGCAGGTAAAACTACAATTTCCATTTGCTATTTGGAAAAAGTCTTCCAAACTGGAATGGCTTTTGAATATTAAGAAAACATTAAGTTTATTTAAAGGAGTTTAAGTCTCCAAAGTCTACTACTAAGCTACAGACATAAACATCACAGTTCTTATCATTAAATTTTAATGAGTCAGTGTCTGTTTTAAAAGGCACGAGACCTTATAAAAATCCAGACATGTCATAAAACATAAAATAAAACTTTGTCTTCTAAGGATCATATTAATCAGAAATAGCTCTTTGTCAAGAATAGGTACTAAATGTTAACCACTTACTAGTCCAAATACTTACAGTGTAACCAAAAATCACATTTTCTTAAATTTTTATAAGAAAACAGGAAATATAAAAACAATTTCATCAAATTTATTCAATAATTTCTCTGTGTATGGTACATCTTAAAAACACTCAACACAACACAGTGCTACAATCTGGACAGCAGTAGTCTCTTTCCATTCTTTTTGCATTATTGTGTTTCTTTGTACAACACTTTATACTGTCATGTTGGCCTTTCCTTTTTTCTGTGGGTTATAATTTCAATAAAATCTCCACCCACAAAACCTACTGGTGAAGACACCGACAATGGAGGTCACAAGTGATGTTTCCTTATCCCATATTTTTAAACTATTTGGTCTATTAGACCTCATATAAATTGTAAATGACTTTTTGAACCCCCTTGAATAAATAACAAACAAGTGCCATATCATTTGGCCCAGAGGTACGTAAATATTTTAGAATAGCCTTTTTATAGCAGTATTTTTTCCCGTGTGTTTTGACTACAGGATAGCTTGTTAGATGTTGGTCAGCTCTGCTAATACCACCCACAGGAATGCTATAATCATGAGCCACTACTGGAACTGCTTTCTCTCTCCTTTCAAGTTCTGTCATTTCTTTCTTTCATTCTTTTTTTTTCTTTCTTTCTTTATTTATTTATGGCTGAACCGGGGACTGAACTCAGGCCCTTGCGCTTGTCAGGGAAGCGCTTATTCCATGAGCCATCTCCCCGGCCCCCTGTCATTTCTGTATTATGAACAGCTGACAATAAGGAGACATCATTTTTGTCTTTCCGCTTTGTATCACAGACTGTGCCTCTCTGCTACGCTAACATTTCTCTCCTTTTCAGCTTCTCCTTCTGCAGATCTTCTGGCACTTCCTACTCAGCGCCTCAGTGTTCCAAGGGTGTCCATTCTGTACTGTAAGAGAATACCATTCAGTTCTGGAGAATGATAAAAACTCAATCTAATGTACTTACAATAAGTTTTTATAGACTATAGCATAAAATTATGGGTTATTTTTCACAAATAAACACAAATTAGTAAAGAAAGTAACCAGAACTTGTAAGTTTTCATTAGAAATAAACATCAAAGGCAAATACAAGGTTCTAAATTAAAAAGCATCCAAAAAATAGTCAATATAAAACAGGCGTACAAGTGTACCTTGTGAGCAGCGGTCAATTGGTTGAAATGACACCTGCCCAAGGTAAACTGTTAAGTGCTTAATGTCTACAACCCAGGTACAGAAGCTGTGCTTGCTACCTGAAATTGGAGTAGAACTGCTGCTGAAGAGATTACTTGGCAACAGCTCAAAGTTAAAATTGTGTTTGACGGACTTCCTTTTCTTACTTGAGAGACCAAGAGAAGAATCTACTGGCAATTTACGCTTAGCATTTGGTGTAAGAATCATTGGGGATACAGACAGCTGGGCTGAAACAAGAAAAAACAAAACCAAGTTGTTATTTCTCCCACAGAATAGATACGATACACAAGCTGTGACATAATTTCTTCGTATAAAGCTACTAGTTAAGAGTTAAGAATGTAGGTGCTGTAGCTCCAATATCAGGTGTGTTATGTAACTAAAACATTACAAAAACTTGAAAAGAGAAGATGCAAACTGGCAAGACTGCAGAAGCAGCAAAAGTTTAAAACCAAAGAATAAAAGATGCATATAGATGAGAGGATATTAACATAGGGAAAAAAACTACAATCAACCCCTGATCTTAGCACTCTGGAGGCTGAGGCAGGAGGTTCACCAAGAGCTTGAGGCCAGCTTGGGCTACTTAGCAAGTACAAGGCCAGTATAAGCGATGCAACAAGACCCTGCCTCAAGAAAACAAAAACACAGTGTTGGGGAGACAGCTCGGCGGCCTAAGCACCTGCATGGTAAGCACAAGGACCTGGGATCAATCCCCAGTACTACATGTCCTGGGTGTGCCTTGCCAGCCACCAAAACAAGGCATACTGGCACACGCCTACAATCCCAGCATTGGGGAGGCCAAGACAGGAAGATCACTAGGATTCCGAGCTGTATAGCAAGACTCTGTTCCAAACAGATAAATAAAAGATTTTTTAAAAATAGGAAAACAAAAACAAAATGAAAATAATCAAAACAAAAATCTAAATATTATGTTTACTTTTCATAAACTAGTATTAACCAGTTTATTTCAACACTCTGGAAACAAAAGATCATGTCTATTATTGGCTAGATATTTGAATAAGCAAATTAGGATAAAATACTAGAAGATATAATAAATTTCTGGTTCTAAAACTAAAAAGAAGTTGAGCTAACTTCCCATAGTCAGTAAAATCCAAATTACAAGCAACAAAAAAATCCTGAAGAAAATTGAAAAGACTAAAATTTTTACCCACAAGTTTGAGTCCATTATACCTAACGTAATCAACAATGTCACAAAATCATACACAGTATCTCCACTGAAAATAACATTTATATTTAATAAGCTAAATTTGACTATTAACTAAAATAACTAATTTTTATTATACTTATTCTTTGTAGACCACTGTAGAAACTTTCCCATAAGTATTTAACAAATACCTACCAGCTCCATCCTGTTGAGGTGTAACAGAGGGTGTTCTGTTAGATTTAAGTTTATTCAGTGCTCCATTCACAAAATCTGAAAATCAGGGCACATAAAATTATACAATCAGTAAACACCTATTTTTTTCTTACCAGTAATCCATATTGCTATTAGTAGTCTTCTAATACCTTCGTATCAGATTATACACTTTAAAATTATTTAAGGTTATTTTAATACAACTATTTCAACACAGAAAAACACTAAAGGATCTATTTCTATTCCATTCCCACTTGTAATCCTATATGCCCAAAACCGTATATTAAAATGGTAAGTGTCACGTACAGATGGTACAAAAGGGGGCAGCATTTCTTGGTGGTTCCAGAAACACAGGTCTGAGCTGAGACAGGAGCAATGGAAACAGGCAAGGAAGAGGAGGCTGTTTAAGGGGGCTGGGGAGATGGCTCAGAAGAATAAGCATTTCCCTGGTAAGCGCAAGGGCCTGAGTTCAATCCCCAGTTCCACCAAA